GGTTGACAAATACTGCTGCTTTCCTTACATTCGCCAAGCCAGTGGCTAAAGGAGAAACAAAGCATAGCTTAGAAATCTACTTAATCAGTTATCAACATAATCAGTTCAGCATTATCATGGAATAGCTCAGAATAGGTTGAAACTTTAGAGATTTAGTCCTTTTTTAAATCTTTTCTTTAAAATTTGGAATTCCTGTCTTAATTACTATCTTCCTCTGGGAATTACATGACATGTTTGCAGTTAAATTTGATGTCAGAAGTCAGTTAATTCACAAATTCCCAAAAACATGGTAAAAGCTAGATGACAAAATTACAAAGAGAGCCAGTGTTTTCTACATATATGTGATCATGATTTGATTTTCCTTGTCTTTTGAAGGGAGAGAAGCAAGAATACTATAAAAAAAGGTGGTATGTCTACAAGCAGGGCTTTAGACTATGTTTTGCTGTAACATACAAAAGCATACATTATCTTGCAGTAAAGGGAGGAGAGGCAAGAAGCAGTTAATTTTTGTATATTCAGTAATTCTGGGTCTTCTAGTTACCTAGCTATGTAGGTGGATTGAAAACTTTGGTCAAATGTCATTATAGTGTAGTTAATGTAATTAATAGCTAAGCATTGTATTATTTCGAAGAGCATGGCTGATGTGGTTATAGTAACAGTGCTTATTAAGAAATTTTATATAGTGCAAGCCAAACTGGAGTAGCTTGAATTATCAAAATTTTATTTAAGAGAGAGCTGTATAAGAAGAATATCAACCTGATATTTATACGTTACTTTAATGCACTAGTAAGCTACTGTTGTGAGTTGTTGAGTCAGCTACAACTCATCGCAACCCTAGGAAACAGCCGGTCGGAACCTTGCCCTGTCCAGCACCGTGCTCATGCTTTCTGCCGTGCCAGCGTCCACTGTTACAGACTGTCAGTCCTTGGGCATCATCTTCTCTTTCACTGACCCTTTACATTTTGGTAACTACTATTCAGATATTTATTTTTGGTCCATTAGGCCAAAACTCTGTTAATGACTTTCCTGGCTACCTACAGGGATTTTGTTTAACTTGCATCATTGCTTCTCTTTAAAAAAAAAAGGGGGGGGGAAGAGAGGAAGTAAAAAATACCTTTGCTAAAAGATAGTAGAAACCATGGAAAGGCATTTGATGGTGTGAATCACAACAGATTGTGTCCAACCTTGAGAAGAATAAGAATCCCAGAACACCGGATTGTACTCGTGTGTAACCTATACTTGGACCAGAAAGTAGTCCTCAGAACAGCAAGAAAACACTGCGTGATTCAACATCAGGAAGGGAGTATGTCAGGGATGCTTCTTGTCTCCATACTTTTTTCATCTGTTTGTGAAACAGATCATTTGGGAGGCTCTACTTTATGGGGAGGAATGTGGCATCAGGATTGGAGGAGGACTCATCAACAGCCTTGTCAATGAAGATGACACAACCGTGCTCACTAAAACTGAGGAGGACCTGAAGTATTTTCTGCAGAGGGTCAAGATTTGTAGTTTGCTATATGGATTGATGAATGTGGATCAAGAAAGTGAAGATTCTCACCACTTGGCCAATTGACAGCATCATGATAGATGGGCAAAAGATTGAGGTTGTGAAAAATTTCAGCTTGGTTGGTTCCACAGTCAACACTCTTGGCACCAGCAGTCAGGAAATCAAAAGACTAATTGCATTAGGAAAACCTGCTGTCAGGGACCTCTGCAGAGTGCTAAAATGAAATGATGCAGTCTAGGTATGCCTGATCCAGGTTGTGGTCTTTGCAATTACCTGTTATGCATCAGAGAGCTAGACAGTGACCAAAAAGAACAGAAGAATTGACGCCTCATGTCATTTTCTTCGCCTAAAACCCCCTTCTCCTCACACCTGCATCTCTTCTCACTTACTCAGCGCTCAGCATACCTATATATAATGTCAGATTTCCAGGTCACATGATTTTATAGCACTGATCGGTTTACAATTGCATATTCATTTATGTGGTTATTTGATCAATAGATAAATCCTCCTCTAGTCTGTCAACTCAGGGCATCTTTGTACTAGGTGCCTTCGAGTCAACTACAACTCACAGCACCTCTATAAACAACAAAGCAGAGCCTTACTCTTCACCATCTCCTCTGTGCTTACGCTCACTGTCACAGCCACTTTATCAATCCATCATGTTGAGGTCCTTCATCTCTTTCACTAATCCTCTACTTTCCCCAGCATGTCGTCTTTTCCAAAGATTAGTCATTCCTGATAACATGCCCAAAGTATGTGGAATGAAATTTCACCATCCTTGCCTCTAAGGAGGACCCTGGTTGTACTTTTTCAAGTTGAATTTGTTTATTCTTTTGGCAGTCCATGGTATAGTTGATACCCTCTCAAGACCACAGTTCACAGGCAAAAAGAAATAGTCATGCAAATCTTTTTTTCTTAAAACAAGGATTTCTTTTTCTTCCTCTGTAAATTTTAACAAATTCGATGTTTCTCATTGGCATCTCTTCTCTAAAGGTGGATCTGGGCAGCTTCCACCATTGTACCAATTCTGCTTAAGACATTTTAGTTCCAGCAGAGGAACAAATAACCATGCTGCCCCCAACATGCATCCTGGAGACCTATCAGCACCACATTCATACCTCCCAGAGACACAGACCGTCTGTGCCACAGCTGTCCAGTGGGCCAGCAAAAGATTGTCCATTCTGTTCTTGTATGAATTGAAATTCAGCTTGTGTTTCTAAATATGCTCACTTTTTAATATCAAATATCTTAACTTTCTGCCCCCCTTTTTGTTTGTTCTCAAAGCCAATTTTCCTAACATTTTCATATTTATTATTTTTTTGCAAGTAGCTGGTGGTTTTGTTAATCATCAGCATTTCTTCGTGAGTACACAGTATTACAAGCTTTCATATAGAGTTTGTTTAAATTAACACTGGTTGAATTTTTAAACATAGTAAAGAGAACAAGTAGCAAATAATGTAACTGCAAAGAAGTTCTTTTAAAGAATAGAAAAGAGAAAATCTAATCAAAATAATAAAAATGTGAGAACAAAAAAAATCAAAGGCATTTTGAGCTTTATATAAGTATTATATTAAAATATTTGTATTTTATAAATATTATAAAATCTATTATTGCTGTCCTCAATAAATATTCAGCATTTAGAGTCTCTTGTCATTATGAGATAAATGTACTCAAATGCACTGTTGTCACGTCAATTCTGACTTAGAACTACTTTCCATTGGGTTTCTGAAGTTGTAAATAATACTGGGAGGAGACTGACCATCTTTCTCCTGCAGATCCACTGGAGAACTTGAACCACAGGAGACTCTTGGTTTTAGGGTTAGCAGAATTCCTTTGATAGAAATACTTAAATAGAAAGAGTAGACTGTTTTCTGAAATAATCAGGAAATAGGGTATATTACTGAATTAAAGAGAACTCCTCTCTTGGCGTAATCTGTAGGGAGTTGCTCTTTTAACCTAAACCGCTTTGATGGTTCACATCTACTGTCAGTTCAGAAAGAGAAAGATGGACAATCTCTTCCCTTGCAATTTATAGCCTTGAAAACCCACTGGAAAGCCAACTGTGAGTCAGTTCTAGCTTGATGGCAATGAGTTTTAGATGTTATGACTTAATTTTAAGTATTATAGTCAGTAGCCTCACATTAGACATGTCATGTCCATGTAACTCATGTTCTGTGAAAGAGCTCTATTGGCTTAGTGTCTAGTCTGAAAGGTTAGCGATTCAAGTATACCAGCTTCTGTGCAGAGGAAAGCTGGGAAGTCTCCTTCTGTTAACATACAGAGCCTTGGAAACCTGATGGAGCGTCAGAAGCAGTGTGTAACATAAGCATGAATCCAATTAAAGTAAACATCCTTTAACTCTAAAATTCAACTGGTGGTTAAATTTAACCATTGATTTTACTCTGAGAACCTGTAAAGATTGTCCAGAGCTTTCTGCATAATGCTTCCCTTTGCACCATGGGGTACTCTGTTAATTTGTCAGTATCATCTATAGTAATCCCCTTGATAAAAGCTGAGTGAGCTAGGTTTGCTAAAGTAGATAGAGTATCCTCTTGCAAGTTCTGTAAGATAAAGGTCATTTAATTCTTCTGAGTGAGAAGAACAGGTACGTGCTCAGTTTGACTACAGAATACATCTAGGTCGTTAAACCTTAAATATAAGCTTTAACCTTCCAAAATCCTTAGCTCACATACATATTTACTTTTATGATGTTTTAAATGTTTGATTTTCCAAAGTGTGTCTAGGAACATTTCCTGTATTATAGCTAAGATTAGCATTTCATAAATCTGGTGATCCATGTTTTTAGAGCTCTGTAAACAATGATTGAGCCCATAGAGGGCTGCAAACTGCTTGTGTGCTCAGCTCCTACCTGGAAGATTGGCAGTTTGTGTGTATGCTCAGAAATGCCTTCGACAAAAGGCCTGGTGATCTATTTAAAAAAAAAAAATCAACTGAAAACTGTGGAGTGAATGTCTACCCTGAAACGTGTGGCATCACTGTGAGTCAGGACTTGTATTTTGTTCTTTCTTTATGAACATTGACAGAGTTTCACAGCACTCTTCTGAACCTTAGGATAACTATTTCCACCATGCAGATAAAAAAGCTGAGTCATGAGCTACTTCTGTAAGTTTTCCAAAGATCCCTGAACCAGTGGGAAAGAGACCCTGAGACAGAAACCGATTCTGTGTTCTCACTGAAACACATCTTGTATGCATCTGTAGTTTACAAGGAAGGTTGATTGCAAAACAAGCTTGGCTTTCTATACCAAAGGCCTAACAAGGAGATCATTGTAGATGTGTGTACACAAATAAGCAGGGCATCTGATTACCAGAACGGATTTTCATTGGACCAAAACTAAAACTTGAATAAGCTTGATGGCAAGATAGATTTGCTGACTTTTCAAGGCCTTTGTTTGTAACAGTTTTAATTTTATCCAGTGATAGATTCATGAATGAAACAAGTTTTCCACTTTTTTCTTCTTTTCTTATTGCAGATTTATGCAGTTCGATCAGTTGTTCCCAATAAAAGCAATAATGAAATAGTCCTGGTGCTACAACAGTTTGATTTCAATGTGGATAAAGCAGTACAAGCCTTCGTGGATGGTAGGTGTACAATTTCTCTGAACCTAAAGATTTAGTCAGGACTAAATTTTCCATGTACTTGATATTTTTTCCTTAAATGCATTTAATACCAGTTAGTTACTAATTTTTAATTAATAGCTTTAATTCTTGTAAAAATATGCTAGACTTTAAAAACGCCTATATCCTCAATAAGAGTAGAATTCGAAAGTTCTTTCTACCTCGTTAAAAAGCAAAATACAAGCTGTAGATCATTTTCAGAGGATACTGATCAGATTTCAGTTTGTTCTTGAACATGTCTTTTATTTGATAGTGTTCCTGTGAATGGATGACAGTGTACTTCTTTCCAGACCGTAAAGTCTTCCCACCTATTCAGCCAGCATAATTCTGCTTAGATTTATGGCAGCAGTCTTTGAACCTGCTACAGACTGGTTTATTTTTTAATGTTCTTAGTTTATAATATTGAGATTTCCTAATTAGTTAAAATTGCCATTAGTCATTTCTACTACTTCTAAAACTTCTTGCTTTCTCAAAAAATTTTTAAGACCATCTTTTATCTGTCTTAAAATATGAGTGGTGATATAATGGAGCCCAAAGTTCCTTTTAGAAATGTATTTATCTTGTTAATTTATAACTTAGTATTTTCAATTTCCTGTCCATAGTGTGGAAATTCAATTCTCCTGATATTTAACAAGTTCCATTTATGAGCAAAGATCCCTCACCTTTCTTTATCATTTAGATTCTGTTCTGGTATTAGTTTCTGGTTTATACATATGTGCTAGTTTAATATAATTGGACAAATAAGGGCAGATAATATCTGTCAGCACATTTCACAGTTATATTCTATATATACTTTTGTCAAAAGTAGTTTATTTACTTATTTTCCTAGGAATTTAATAATCTTCTTGAATGTCTGCAGGAATAATAGTGTTTCAGTACAAAGCTTTGGAACCAGGCAACATGCTCCTATTCTCATATCCACCTTCAAGGTCTGATGTCCTAACTGAATTATCAAATGGTTATCACTCAAAACAGACTTGCCAGAAGATTCATGATACACAGTTTTCTCGCTATCGTCCTCCTGCTTTGTGACTAGCAAATATAGAATATTTAATCATAATAAACCAGTAGCAGAGAATTGTATATGCATCTGACTTTGTTCATTTGTCTTAAAAATAATTTTACAAGTATGCATATCCTAGCACAGAAAAGCTCTCTTTTCAGCATCTGTCCATATGTATTGCTTGCATGGAGAAAAACTTTAGGAAAGGACAAGGAGCCATTATTATTATTCTTTTCCATCCCTTGTTGGATTGAGAACCTTGCATGTCTCACAATATGAAGCTTTTATTATAAAATGAACCTAATTTGGTCCATACACAGACACACACACACACAAATTGACCAGGTTTGTTTGAATTGAAATTTGTCATCACATTCATCTGTATTTAAATAGAAAACTTATTTGTCTTTGAAATCTTCATGTTGTAAGTATTGACATCTCATTATTAAAGCTCATCAATTGTTAAGAATGCAGAATCATTTTGATTGGAGTAGGATGGATACCTCAGAAAGTTTGTCAAAAATTCACCCAGAGCCAAAAAGAAATGTTAGGAGTCCTTCACAAGGCATTTTGAAAGCCATCATTTCATTTCCAAGTAGCTCAAAAAACTTAAGTAGCTTCAGGATAATGAAAATTTAATAATAATGGCTTCAAAATCCTCTGTAAATATGAGTGTTTTTTCTTCATAATTACTCTCTAAAACTCATTGTCCAAATTAGAACTAGAACTTACATGAAAATTGGTGAAGTGATTGACTATTGCAATTGAGAAAGCAATAAACAGCTCATGTCCTTTCTCTGACTAGAAAGAACATTTTTTTCAAATGCAATTTTCTTTTTAAAAACAGACATTTAGCTGTAAGTAAGAACTGTCCACTGATTGTTAGCTTTTATTACCAAGAAACATAATTAAAGTGATTTCCTAAAGCTCTTCAAAGGTAAATACTAAAAAACATTGGTTCTTTGGGAAAGTTAGAAGAAAAACCAGCCCAGTTACTAAAAAGTTTGAGTTATAGCTTACTTCCAAATACAGTCTTATTTCAAGTACCTGCAACTCCAACAAGTTTAAGAGAGGCATTGAGCTGGAACCTTTGAATAGATAGGCGTAATTAGCCTGCCTAAACATTATTCAAAGCAATATGGTCCTCTTCTTATCTACCATGACAGTAGATTCAATAATTGAGCTTCTACTAATTTGAAATTTGTTATAAAGACCAGCCTGAAGTTTATCTTTGTCTAGCCAATGCACTCCTCTTAGAGAGCTGTTCGTGTAATATGATTGCATAGGGAATGCTTAAAATTTTCAAAAGAATGCATTTTAAAAGCTAGCCCTCTATTAGATGTATCTATTTGTACAAAAACAACTGACTCACTGATGACCTGGAACTTACCATTTAATTTACTGCTGCCCCAGTTTGAATGAATCAACGTCATGGAAACATTTATTGTAGCTCACCCGTGATTAAGTATTTCTTTAAAACTGTTTTCTATCTTAATTAAGTTGGGCTTTCTTGAGTCTCTGAAGTTTTGTATATATATGTGAATAGTATCTGATAGAACCTGGGCTACACTTGTCATTTGATGAACTCTGAAAGTGGAAGCCTTGTAACGAATACCTACATCCCTTCCCTATCCATAGTGATTTGAGCAGAACAGAAGAAGAGCTCCCCTTCATAGCACTTGACATGTTATAAACATAATTTAAAATATCTCAAGCGTATTGCTGTCAAGTTACAACAAACTCCAGTCTGACCCTCCAACTGATTTTCAAATACTATAAATTCCATGAGAGGAGATTGCCCATCTTTCTTCCTCAGGGATTCGATCCACCAGAGAGACATGGGCTTTGGGTTAACAGGGCCATTCCCTTCAGACTATGCCACCAGAGATCCCTGTGAACATAATAGGTAGAGACCGAGAATGGCCAGAGGATGCCAATTCACATGATTAATAATATTCAGAATCCTGTGTTTGGTCCAGAAGATTATAGGTATTTTTACTCACTGAGGAAACAGAACAGTTTTAATTCTATATATGGCAATGAAGCTATCCCAAAATTCTCAAGATAGATTTCATTTTCTCTAAGACAATATAATGATAAAAGAGTAAGCTCCATGTATCAGGGCTTAATATTTGATAAAACCAAGATCTTATACTGAATTAAATAAAAAATCTGGGAAATAAAGAACGAAACTGGCATTTTTATTAAACTTGGCTGTATCAAAACAGATGAAAAGATAAAATTGCTACCAAGATGGGAAGGCAGAGATGAATTTTGGATGGTGTTTTATTATATGAATATATGTTGAAGATTCTTTGTCTTTGTCTAGGTAGTGCAATTCAAGTTCTAAAAGAATGGAATATGACAGGAAAAAAGAAGGTAAGAGCAATATTGATTGTAGTAACATCTTCAATTAAATCCTTCAGAGTTATCATTTTAACAAGGCTGCCAATTTAGACTTCTTTCAAATATGTTAATACGTACATGCAGAAAGCTTCCAAATTCATGACTTAAATACCAGCCACTCTCCCAACTAATGCCTTTGCTTTCTGTTCAGTGTTTTTAACCACCAGGTGTTCTTAAGCAGCCTCAGAATACGACTTCTTGTCTGTGGGTTTCTTTCTCCTTTTTTTAAATAATAAGGGAGCCCAGCCAGAAAATTCAAAGGGTTTGACACATTAACTTGCTTGAACAAATCCTGTAGCACAAAGGCAAAAAATTAAGGAGTGTTTTATAGACACTTGACAAGCTTTAAATAGATCCTCATGTTTTTCTAACTGAAGCATTCTGTCCAAGACTGCCCACAGATATGGTTTTGCTGAATTCTAAGTTGAATCTTTAATAAAAGAAGCAAAAGGAAATGCCTTAAAGCCATAGTAAAGGGCTTTTTTGGCTATCTCAAGAACACCAGAAGACTGCTTCAGAAAAAGAGAAGGAGATTTTCCCAGCAGTCCCCTGTCACCCAACAAGGCCATATCCTGTGGATGTCCATGGATATAATATCCTAGTCTGTTCTTTCCCAGGAGGGAAGATTGTAGGCCTGAAAAACAGATTCTGAACAAATAAAAAGCCTTTCATAAAATCATGAGATTACTGAAATTGCTGGAATCATCTTCTCTCTTAGTTTCATGTAGAATAGTAAGATTTATGTGATTTTTTAAAAAAAAAACACAAAAACAACCTTTATATGCCACCATCTTTGACAGTTGCTACTTATCTTTAATCATAGCTTCCCAGGATTCTCTGGGAGACGAAGATGATTTGCAAGTGATTGAAAGGCAGTATTTACACTTACATGCTAACATTTCATTTGTGCCGTTTGAGTATTAAATTTCTCTGACATGACAAAAAGAACTGAAAGCAGCTGCAGACCCAGCTCATTACTCAGGGTCTGAGAGGTTCCGGTGGAAACTGTTCCCTTCAGTCCTGTACGCTGTGGTGTAGTGAGGATACTGGGGGGAGTAAGGATAAGAGAACAAACAGGTTCGTCTTGGAGAGGATGAAACCAGACTGCTCCTTGGAGGCAAGGATTCTGAAGCCCCATTTGACATACGTTGGGCATGTTGCCAGGAGAGACCAGTCCTTGGAAAGGGACTTCATGTTTGGAAGGGTGGAGGGACAGCACAAGAGAGGAAGACTCCAGATGAGATGGATTGACCTAGTGACTGGGGCAGTGGGGAGAGGTGTGCCAGCGATGGGAGATTGGTTGAAGACAGTGTTTAGAGCTGTTTGAGTCGTAGTTGACTTGAAGGCATATAACAACAAACAGCAAGGACTGGAGAGCACTGTCCTTCACCAATGTAAGCATGAAACACACCTAGAGCAGCACTAACTCAAGACCTACCTGTGACCTGAAAGGAAAAGAGAAGGAGAGGGGGAACAGCTAAGAGACTATTGCTTTTTGTTTATTTTCAAAATGTATTGAACATCAGAACTGATGTTTGGCTGGTGCACACAGATTCAACAAAAGTTACAGGGTCCTAATGAGTCAAGTGCCTGTCCTAATAGGTTGTAACACACTGTTGTTAAGCATTTGGAATATCACCCAGGTGCGAAGCCAAAGTCAAACAAAAGTGCTCAAATTACTATGAACAACATCTTAATTTCCATTATATTATGATTTATTTGCCTTAGGGGCATTTTTAAAAATTTTTTTATTTACACACAATTCATTTCATTGTCTTTTATGCAGTCTTTCATTTAATTGCATTCCATATAATCATTCATATCATATACATTGTATTTTATATAATTAATTACTATTGATGTATGCCAATTAGTAGGGAGCTATGGTGGCCTAGTGGCAGGAAGCTCTGCTGCAGTCCCGTGGGCGTGTGGTTCAAATCCACCAGCTGTTCCACGAGAGGATAGGCAATCTCCCCCTATTCAATTAACTACTTCTTTTTTTTTATTATTATTAAATTTTATTAGTTTCCATGAACATTCACAGGGATTCTGGGCTTTCACTCCTTCATTGCCGCACCATTCTCTCCACCCTCCTCCCCAGTTTGTTCTTCTTCCCCGCCATCCGAATGTTTAATTGTCCAGTTGCCACAATGCTTGTCAAAGTCAGTTCTGATTAATCTCCTTTGTCGGTATGTCCTTTGCCATTCACTATCACTCCTCCCTGAGAGAGACTTCACCCTGAGTCATAAGGAAAAGGGGATGGCGTATTCTCTTAGCTACTTCCTTCTGAAAAGGGACGCTGTGGGTTTCAGGGTGAAGATCTTCTCTCACTACTCTAAAGGGCCCCTTTGGCAGTAGGAAACACATAGACTATTATGGAGATTGATTTTGGAATTTAGATGCACTCTTATTGATTGTGCTTGGCCGTACATGTTCATATCCTTGAAGATGTATCATGGGGGTGTTGCAACCTAGAAGACACAAATTTGACTAACAAGTTATAAGTACATGAGTCCAAAAATTATGGAAAAGTAAAAGAAAAGATTCTTTCATTGTTTTACAAACCCTCTCCCAGGTCCCCTCCACCATGTAGCCCTCACTCTAGACTCCTGTGATGACAGAAATACCTAGTTATATATCTCTTTTAAACAGTTCAATTAACTACTTCTGAAAACACTTCAGAGGGTCAGCTATGTGTTGGTTCCAACTCATCATTATACAACAGTATGTTTATTAGTACTGTTTTGTTTTTTTTAATTTTACACTAGTTTATTTTAAAAAATATTAAAATTCTAATGCATTGTTTTAGAGAATAGATTCAATTTCTTTCACACCCCCCATCAATTTATACAACCCCATAGTTAATCCCCCCTCTCCCTGCACATCCTTAACCCTCTGCTTCCACCCTCTCCCACCCCTCTTGGATCTTTATACTCATTCTACAGTAATGGTTTTACACAGTATGTATCCTTGTGGGCCTGAGTTAGTTCACTCAGCATAATGCTCTCCAGACCCTCCCAAGCTAGGTAATAATTTACAACATCATTGCTCCTGCATGCTATTGTGTCTTTTTTGTTTGTTTGTTTGTTTGTTTGGGGTGTGTGTATGTGTGTATAATTTTTATTTTATACTGATTTACTTACAAAGTTCATATACATTGTTTTTCACACTGGATCTTTCCCATTTCCTAAACCCACCCATCCCTCCACCCACCAGATTGTGTGACCCTATAATTCCACACCCATGCCCATCCTCACCCCTCTGTCTTTCAGATTCCCCACTGAATCTTTCCTAGTCTTTCACCACCACCCCTGTCTGCCCACTCTGCTATCCTAGTGATTTCCATCCTTTCCATTTTTTGTACCCTTCCTCCTTTCCCCTTCTAGACATTTATACCCATTTTACTAGTTATCCTTCTTTTCTTACTATAATGGTCTTGTGCAGTATTTGTTCCCATGAAACTGAGTTCACTCAGCATAATACTCTGTAGACTCTCCCATGTTAGGTAGTATTTTATGAAATTATTGTTTCTTAATGCTGAATAGCATTGTGTGAATGTACCACATTTTTCTCAATCCATTCATTTATTGATGGGCATTTGAGCTGTTTCCATTTTCTTGCTATTGTGACTAATGCTGCTTTGAACATAGGCATACATATCTCCATGTCTCAGTTCTGGTTTCCTTAGAGTATATTTCAGCATTCTAATAGCTAGATCATACGGGATTTCTGGGTTCAGTTTTTTTGAGGAAATGCCAATCCCACAAGCAGTGCATAAGAGTTCCAATCTCTCCACATCCTCTCTTTTGGGGCATTTTGAGAGCGTAATAAGACTCTGCCCATAAAACATGCAAGGACGATATGGGGAAGGCCAAGTATGATTTCTATTAACTCCACAAAGAGACTGTCCCCATTAATTACATCCAGGATATAAAACTTGCTAAGTCATGGTCTCCCATGCTGCTGCGCTTACTTCAGTTAACCACTGATCCAGATATCCATTGCAGGAGTTGCAGAGTTTATTAGGAAACAGGCCAGGGTGGAGAGGTGGGGAAGGCAGAGGATATCACACAATGAGAATCCAGATAGCAACACAAATGGAAGGGATCTCTGGCTTCCTCAGTCATGCAGCAAGCCTCATCTCATAGCAGTCCCAAATCAGCTCGTCTTCAATCATCCAGAAGCAAAACCTTTAACTCTGGTTCTGACTCCAGGGTTCTCTCAGGCTACACCTTGCCACAGTCTCTCCATAGTCAGGTTAGCACTTTCTCTTATGTTGGCTTCATAACTGTTGATGATGTAAAAAATGCTGATCATTGACAGGATATGTGTCTGTAGTTGAGGCAACTGGAGACCATATTCCAGAGGGGGCTAAGGCGATGGATATAAAACACATTTTTGTAAGTCTTAACATCACACAGTCATACTGTGATACCCAAATCCTACTTCAGAGAGTAGTTTCCAACTCATAGCAATGCTCCATCAGGTTTCTTCCCAAGGCTGTAAATCTTTATGAGAGAAACTGCCTGTCTTACTTTCAAGGAGTAGCTTATGGACTTAAACTGCTAACCTTTTGGTTAGCAACCCAGTACATTATACACTATGCCACCAGGGCTCCTTTAGATTATGATAAGAAGGGTCTAAAAATTTATAGTTGTCTAAAATATAGGGTTATGTTATATCCAGAAAAAGAAAATTAAGGTGTTTATACCTTTGCAGCTAGCATTGAAAGATGCAGGGGTCAGGCTGCAGCATCCAGTTCCACATGGACCCAAATCACTTGGGCCTGGGCCCCATTGTCTGCTCCAGTTAAAATATAGATAGAGACATCATAGGCTCTGGGGTTGCTGGAGATTCTGGACAGTAGCAGAAATACCATGAATCTCTTCATTAGTTTAGTGCTTATTTCATAGATCCAATGTGGACTTTGGGGACCTATCTTGTAATTCATTCTTTCCTAAGAAGGAGTTTCCCACCCTTTTCATATCAGGCTTCTCCTTTATCTCTCCTTCAGAGATGGTTAAGAACCTTAGTGTCTCCCCACATGCCACTACCACCACTTTAAGAAACTAGAGCCAGTATTTAATAGGTAGCTGACTTGAGGATTTACTGTATCACTGTTCACATATTTCGAGTCTCAGTTTGCCCAGGTCCTATCTCAGCTATTTAAGCCATTCCTTGCCTGCTTTCTCTTTTAAGAGATCCTTTTTGTTGACTTTATTTTTGTTGTAAAGTTGGTAACAACTTACATTAGAAAGAAGATATTTAAGTCAGATAGTTACTAAAGATGTAGATGGTTTTGTCCATTTTATTAAAATAGCCAGTAAATAAAAATGGTAACATTATCATTTTTATCTCTTAAGTTCCACCTTTTATTTCAATTCTCTGAGCCAAGTCATGGTATCTTCTCTGTCATTTCTCATTCTAGAACAATAAAAGAAAAAGAAGCAAGTCCAAGCAGCATCAAGGTAACAAAGAAGCTAAAGACAAAGGAGAGAGGCAAGAAGCCATGCCCACACCGCCACAGCCGCCACAGATCCAGAATGGCCTCGTGCACAGCTGTGAGAAGGACAGCTCGTCCACAGACTCTGCCAGTGAGAAACCCACCATGCTCCCACGTGAAAAAAAGATCTCAATACTCGAGGACCCTTCAAAGACACTCCGTGGGGTTGCAGGTCAGTCATTCACAAGAAAAATTGCTCAGGGAGGCAAAGTGCACGCACTGTGGCAGTCTTCACTCCTGTTGAAATAGGAGTAGAAGGTGGTTGTACAGGCGTCTGGATTCAGACAGTCTCACTGAGGCCCAGAAACAGCCAGGAGAGGAGACGGGGAATGTAACGGGGCTTCTCCTCACACACTGGGCTCAAAAAGTAAATGTTCACTCCATCCCTGCTCTAAGAGGAGTTTTCCTAGAAAACACAATTTGAATCTATTAAGGATCCCTGGCGGCACAACAGTTAAGCACCTAGCTGCTAACCAAAAAGTTGATGTTTCAAACCCACTCCCTCCCTGAGGCTCCAAGGCAGAAAGAACTGGCAGTCTGCTCCCACAAAAGTTACTCATTGCCATTCAATTTGGAACTGGCTCGACTGACCCTACATTGGGTTTCCGAGGTTGTAAATGACACAGAAGCAGATTACCCATCTCCCTCCCAAGGAGCTGGTGAATTCGAACCACCAATGGGACATGGCCTTGAGCAGAGCAGCTTCGTAGGGACTGCCGCCACAGCCTCCTCCATAAAGATTACCACCTGGAAAACCCTTTAAGGCAGTTCACCTCCGGCACATGGGGTCACCTGGAGTCAAAAACTGACTTGCGTAAAACATTAAGTCTGTATTTGGATCACCGGTAAAGTGGAAGTTTCTCCTTAAAGAAATTCTTTTTTTATAACTACTTTTGTTGGAATGTATCTGGGATAAGGTTGGGATAATAAGTGATAAAAGAAAATGTTATTGTTTTCTAAAGAGGATACAAACTTCCTTTCTAACTCTTGGTATTCTACATTATTTGGCAGAATATAATCTTTAGGGGTGTCAGGATCAGAGAGGTTAATGATTTGTACGTCTCCTTTCTGTAAAATAAGGAAACTACTAGAATCTGCTGGATCAGTGGTTCTCCACATTATCTAAACCACTACCTCCATTTTTACAACAAATCCTAAAGTAAAATTCATAGGTAATAAAATCTAAATAGATAGAAATAGAAGTTCAATGAAATAAAAATGTAAGATGTTTAGAAATAAATAGAAGACCTAATAAAGGAGCCAGATGTTCACAGTGGATGATGGTCTTACTTCTGAGTGCAACTGGATATTAGGGACTCTCATTCATGGTACTTGACATTTGAAGTAAAATCTGAATAGATAAGTGTTTACATAGAACCACTGTGAATGGGACAGCCACAGGTGCAGACTGGCACAGATTCTGTGCATGTAGTCTGGGTAGCAGTGTCACTTTCCAAATGGGACAACACTCTTGGGAAAGTGCCAGACACTGTAAATACAACTGTGCTTTAATGAACACAGGCTAGTCTAGAAAAACTGTGTAAAAAAAATATTTCTGTGTAAAGATCAAAGCTTAGCTAGAATTTTTTTTAAAAAAACAATTCCATGAATAACCAGGGGCTTTTGAGAAATTTTGGGATGCAAGTCAGTTTTCTTATGTGGGAGAGTCCTATGGTAAATTTTCAAAAATGCTACCTCTCTTTTTCAGACTGCCTCCTGTGATGTAGATGCATCAATAAGACATACTATACCACTCCTTTTTCTAGTATTAAAACTCTGGCTTGACTGAGAGACAGTAATTCGGGGGGAAAACAGATAAACTACCCTCAAATTCAGAGCACTATGTTGGATGCCATTATAGATGCAGGGAGGACAAGCAATAGTCCAGGCCCAATGGAGTCACATTCTGATAGCCTTAAAGAGATGGCTCAACTTCAGTATTAGAGGAAGGAGATGCTCCATTTGACTAAGTGATCCAGGAATATTTTATGGAGCAATGGATATTGCATGACCAGGAGACTTGCGGAGGTAGAGAGAATCTGGAGAGCAAAAAGTAGAAAGAACTTTACTGAATAATCTCATCTCTTGTGTATTTAAAATGCACAAGGCAGAAAGCAGGAAAACTCATTTTAAAAGAAAGAAAGAAATGGAACCACATGGCAGTTCCAGTTTCTGAAAAACCAGCAATGAAGAGATAACAGTCCTTGGTCAGAAAGAATCCAGTCTAGCAGAGGAGCCAGAAGTGCAAACAGAAAATTTCATGGTGGCACATACCAGCCCTGGATCCAGTGAGCGTCAGATAATTACCACTAAAAAGTTCCTGCAATTGCTCATAAAGCACTCATTTTCTTTCATAAACACATTTCCTAACAACTCCATTGATAGTTAATGCTGTAATTCGGATTAGGCCTGTCTACAAGATAGTTTCTTAAAACCAAAGAGAGACAAAAAAGTAACCCATTTCCATCTTGAAACTGAATTCTCCAGGAATTTTTTAATTCCATTTTTATTATGCCTATAGTTTCCAGGATGCTTTGATTTATAACTAGGGCAGGAGAAAGAAATTAAATAATCGAGTGGCAGATTCCCAACTTTACTTGTTATTGCCTTCACATGAATTACTTTCAAAATCTAATTACTCAAGTTGCTGTTTTGATATCAATCATAGCCTAAAAGCCTCACCCGTGTATTTGTTCATTTACTTATAATTTATACCTTCCCCCTAAAACAATTTCAGTAACTCTATCAAGTATATGACATTAGAGCAAATGCAATATAGTAGTGCTTCACTTCACAGTAGATAGTTGCCTTGAAAGTTAAGTACCCATCAGGGAAGTCCTCTGTTCAAAGGGGCTTTCATAAACACTAACCTGAAACAAAAAGCCATTCTGATATCTCTGGTTTTTTTTTTTTAAGTTTAGCCTGAAGTCACTGAAGTATGCCAGTGTTATTTGTTAAAGTTACTGGTTCAGAACAAATATCTGTGCTATGGGTAAATTTTTCTCTTAAGGAATAAAGATTATAAATAATAAATGATAGAAATAAATAGAAGAAGCCTCTTAGGTATGTTTTGCTAAAGTAAATTAACCTTTAAAATGGCCATTAACTTCATTAGCATCTCACACTAGATCATAGAGTTTAAGGTGAGTTCGTAGCTTATTAACAGCAAAAGGAATTGGGCTTTTCCTTCACAAAGACAGGAAAAATTCATCAGGAAGTCAATGTCATATATCTTGAAAATATCTAATCTTTTGCAAATCTGAAGACCTCTGTTAGATATTGAACAAAGGAGTATAAGACCTTGGTGATTCTGTATGTAATTGAGTAGACTATTGGGACTAGAGGCATGGAAGCGACCCTTTGCCTGTTCCTACATTTTATAGGTCAAGAGCCAAGGGGGTCGCTTTAATGGCAGAGCAAAGAAGACAGCCCACACTGCCTAGAGCAGCTCTCTTTGATTTGAAAAAGCCTTACTTGAATCCATGAACTTTTATGCATACATTTGAGAGATATTTCTAAAACTGTGGGCCCTTCAACTTCTAAAAAAA